GGGGGGTCAGGTTTGGAAATGTTCTTGGGCCTTGTCTGCTTTCCTTTCATGCTGACCGGAGAATTTACGGGCTCGTTCTCATTCTTGCCTCGTCAGCATGCCCCCTCTCACCTCGGCGTCGGCCAGCCCGAGTGTGTCTTCGACTTTTCTCTGTGTGTGTTTGTGTGTCTGTAATTGTGCCTCCTTTTTTTCCCTCTACTCTCCTTTCCTCTTTCTACGACTGGCCTCTGGTTAGCCGTTAGGCCTTTCGCTCCTCTAAGTGGTACTGCTGTTACTTTCGGGGGCCGTCACCACATCCGAAAAAGCCTCACTTTCTCCCGTCTTTGGTTTCAGTTTGTTCACGTCAGTGGTTGTCGATGGCCTTTTGTTGTGTGTTGTGTCTCTTCGCTGTAATCTGATTGGGTGTGAAGACTAGCCCTTTCCTCCTTCCGGACAAGCTCTTGCCCCTCGTCATTGGTTTGACCCTCTGAATTCTGGCCAAGTGGAAGTCAGTCTCGCCTTCTATCTCCCCTTTTAATCCCTCATCATCTGATTGCTTTTAAGTGCTTCAAGCTTCTTTTTTTTTTTTGGGATGAAAAAGTGGCACTTTTGACTTCCTGTCTCAGTGAATTTTCAATGTGACACCCAGTATTTGAAAAGGTCTGGAAAGACAGGCGATAAGAAAAGATGTTGATATCTAACGTAAAGGAGCAGATGGTTAAAAACTGTTGATGTGGTTAAACAAAAAAAAATAGAAAAGACCAAATTGCTGTTGGGTGAAATATCTTCATATCTAAACAATTTCAACTTCAAACAAGCTCCATTTTTCGCTTTGAGAAATGAGCTATTCACTAGAACAAAAAAAAGACACAAACCAAAGCAAAAATCTATCTTCATAATTCACTTTGCAAAGTAAACAGAAATGAAGCAGGAATTATGTCAGTGCAAAGCTTTTAACATGACAGTTTTTATGTAAAAACGTTCAAACTAAATTACCAAAGAAACATTCAACTGTGTTAGTTTCTATTAATTTACTGACGGTATACGGCTGATTGAAATATTTCTATTTACCGGCTTTTAACGGGGTTGGCATATTCGATTTGCTCATGCCTGTTGATCATGACAGTGCATTATCATCATCTTCATCGCGTCATTTGCCATAAAATTATTCATCAAATGTGCTTGAATTGATTTGAAATGTGTGGAACCGCTCAAATAAAAGGTCGCTCCGTCCACACGGAGAGTCATAGCGGCCTGATAAAATCCTGGATTTAACAGAAAAATAGCCTCTAGCATAAACAACAGAGAGCAGAGCCTGTGTTTTATGAGGCGTGCTGAATTAACCGCCGGTGCTGATGCTACTTTTGATTACCTTTGCTGCGACAGCAGAGCTGTGTCTCTCGCACCTGCACTTTCTCCCTCGCGGGCCCCCAACCGCTTCTGGCACAACCTCACCTACTTCCAGGCAGCGAAGGGGAAAAGCAAAAGTCTGAAGAGGTCAGAACTCCGGCGGCACTCGGAGCACGGAGCAGCCTTTTCTGTTTTTAGCAGCTCTTTTCAGTTTGTCGCCCTTCTTTAAATCAACGCGAACCAAAGCGGGTTGGTCAAACAGGGAAGTTGTTCCATGCTTCAAGTGATTTCCAGAGCTCTGGCCTCTTTTTTTTCTCCCTCTTTAAAGGGCCCACCGATCACAAGCGCAGTTCCTCGTGTTGCAGTTTCCAAAAATCAGAATTTCTGCATGTGACGGCAAAAAATTCAGCACAGAGATGATTAAAATGACAACACAGTCTATCGTGTTTCTAAAAGCAGCACGCACACTGTCGCTAACGCAACAGATGAGTGTGAGATGAACATTACACAGAACACTGTTTATCCAAGAGAAATGGAGCCACCCGTACGACCCATTTGTTTGATCACTGCAGACTTCCTATTTTGAAGAGTGAGTAGTGGTTTAGGTTTGATTTGATAAAGCTAAAGTGGGTTTTAAACTTTTAATACAAATTCTAGAGGGCCTGTCGGTTTGCTGACATTCACAAATGCCGGTCTGTGTTCCGAAAAGAGCCCAAAACAGCAGATCCATTGGCAGATTAAAGTTTGAGACCCTTTGTGCAGTGTTCTGAATGCCTTGGATCGGAGATAGAGTTGTTTTTTTGTGTTTAATTGATGGAGGAAGGAAGAGTCATTCAGTCTCAGTGTAGAGACAGAAACGCGCACTGCCACAGGGCCAGAATTTCACCCAACATCAAGATAAGCGTGTTCCCACAAGGGGCTTTCAAGGGAGCGGGACTTGGTCTGTAAACTTCACAACCCTGCTTCAAGTTAGACACACTTTTTAATGGAGTGTGACGAAATGGCCTCCTTTCTCTCGCCTGGCTTTTACATCCCTTGTTTTTGTCTTCTGAGGGTCTGATGCTGTGGGTGTTGTATACTGATGAGTCTTCTTTGCTCCCCTGTTCTTTTTTTCTTTTTTCTGGTCTCTCTGTCACTCTTCCATTATTCTCTCTGTTTCCACTGCTTTCATCATCCGTCTCCCATTTTGACCAATATCCATCCTCTTTCTGTCTTTCTTCTCATTTCTCACTTTTTTCTCCTCACGCTTCCTGGCTGCTGCCGCTTCTTTCTTTCTGTCTCTTTTATTCTCTCTTTTCCTCTCTTCTAATCTACCTTCATCCTTTTTTCTGATCTTTCAAAACCCTCCTTACCTCTGTCCTCTCTTTGGGTTCCGACTCCTGGTCTCACCTTCTCTTAATCTCATCCCACATTCTGAAGACCCCACAGCCATGTCCACGTCTTCGGGGGTGGACCACGCCGTGATCGGAGGGGTGGTGGCCGTCATCGTCTTCATCCTGCTTTGCCTCCTCATCGTCCTGGGCAGATACCTCATCAGACACAAAGGTCCCCGTCCAAAAAAAAAAAAAAAACACACACAACAAACACCCGACGACACACTCATGCATGCATGCATGAGCATATGGGCGCGCACCCCGCCGTGGATATGGCTGCATGCGTAATGAGGCTGCAGAGGAAAAAAAAATACGTCTGCGGCACATTTTTAGGTTTCAGATCCAGATGCAGGATTCAGATTTTTGGGATGAAAATGGGTTTTTTCTACGTCCAGAACGGGCTGCAAATGTAATCAGCTGTCCTGGAGTTTTCTTTTGTTGTTTTTTTTGTGTGCAATCGTTCTCATTTAAACCCAAAAATACAACTTTTGTGATTTTAGCCGCAATAGATTTGCTTCTTTTGTGGTGGGGTAAAATCTCCAGGTGATAGTTCAGCGCAGAACACTTCCCCTTCCACGACTCCCAGACAGATTCAACTCTTGACTTCAGGGCTTCAAGCCGGCCCCCGAATATTAAACACGACTGCCTGGTGGCTGGTGTTCACAGGTGCCAGCTCTGCTGAGGCTCATGTCCGTGTCACTGCACTCCTGATTCCCTCCGGCTGCTTTAAACGCCCGGGCTCAGGTGCCATTATGTGTGTGTGTGGGGGGGGGGGCGGTGCAGGGGGCTCTCAGCTCCGGCACACAAAAGCAAAGCAAACAAAGTTTGCATATTTGTTGTCAAACCTGCGTGTGCGTGCCTGTATTCTCATCTTGATGATAAATAATTTCAATTTCAGCCGAAAGGAGGGGTGCAGCTTTCTTGAGAGGCTGTAAAATAACTTTAAAATAAAGGCTTTTTTTGTCCCTGCCACACCAAAAAAAAAGCTCTTGTTGATTATATAAGAAGACAAAAATAATAAAAATAATCAGTATTAGTGTTTTCTTCCGAAATTTAGTGATTGCATAACAGTCTGTGGGAGTCCTGTAACAGAGAAAATATTGAGAATGGGTAAAATGTGCCTTTCTTTAACACAATCTGTGATCGTTTCCTCTGACAGGAGACATCTGAGGGATTCTTCACCTCCTAAGACCCGAGCTTTGATTTCTTTTGCATTTTAAATTTCTCTCTGGCTTCTGAGGCGAATAAGCACCTGAGAAGTAGAAAGCCTGAGCGTCGCCTTTGAAGATTAATTATTTTTCCGATAAAAAAAATAAATAAATAAAACGCTCTCATGCGAGGACACCCAGACTGAGAAGGTCACAGAAAAGGAAAAGAAACTGGGTTTACTTCCACTAAAGAACACAGTGATTAGTTTAAAGAACACAAACAAACCAGAGCTGATCCGCTGTTCCAGCTCTGACATTCAGGCTTTAATAAAACAGAAGCTCTTTTAAAGCTTCTTTTTAAGCTGCATGTCTTATCGTATCCCCTCAAAAGTTTTTTATTACTTAACCCTTTAACATCCTGCTCAACCATTCAGTAGAACATATTTTTTAGTGATCACATTCAGAGGAAGTGCACTTACCTAAACTGCCTCGAAAATTAAGCTTAGATATGCGATGCCTAAATTAAGCATGAGTTATGAATAGAACAGAATACAATAGCATTGAAAAAAGCTTTTATTGCATCCAAAGTCCAAATTCAGGTAGATCTGAAGCATATATTTTGAAGTAACTATGCAAAGTCACTTCTCCCAAACGGGGACAAGAGACTTGCCTTTCAATTGTTGGGAGGATGTGAGGAGTTTCAATGGTGTACCAGGAGTGGGGATTGAACCCATTATATCAAAATCAGATATCGTCTCTGTGTGGATCTTAAAGGGTTAAAATCAGTGTTTGATATGAAAATCTTGTCACAGAACATTGTTTTTGCATGCAGCTTTTAAGCCTAAAGAAAAACCCACTGCAGCTGAATTTGTTCAGCTACTTCCTGTGTTTTTGCTCACGGTTTTTTTCTCTTTTTTCTCGTGCCACAGGAACGTATTTGACCCACGAGGCCAAGGGCTCGGACGACGCCCCCGACGCCGACACGGCCATCATCAACGCCGAGGGGGGCCACTCCGGAGCCGAGGACAAGAAGGAGTACTTCATCTAGGCTGAGGACTGGAGGAGGAGGTGGAGGGAAGGAACTGAAGAGGAGGAAGAGGAAGTTGGAGGGTGCGGAAATAGAGGATGGGCGAGGAGGGATGGCAAAAAAAAACCTCCATTTGTTTCATAGCTCTTCGGTTCTTCACTCTGTTGGAGGGACGGTGGGAGGGAAGGGGCGGGAGTGAACTTCAACTACCCTCTTTGCATTGATACAGGGAAGTACGATTTTGCACTGACATTCGGATAAACTGAAATCCCCCCCCCAAACACACACACACACACAGGAACACACGCGTTCGAGTCAGTTTGAGGGAAATCTATTTTCCTGACTTGAATGCTTGTAGAGGCTCAGATTAACAGACGTGAGCCTCCCGCTAACCTCTCATTCCTGATGCTTCGACACATCCTCACACATGCGTCCTATTTTTAACTGTCAGCGGAGCGCAAAAAGCTAAATTGTAAGTCGCATCCCGACGCGTTCAGACGATACGTCAAGCCTCCGCAGCCCCGTCTCCTCAGCATTTCAACCCAGCCGCTCCGTCTTTTCACCTGCCTGTCCTCATTCTTTCCATCAAAACAAAGCCCTATCCCCCCCCGTAAACATCCTCCCGGCAGAGAAAATCCATCGAAAACAAAATTATTACCGGCAAACCTAATCTCCTTCTATCACTTTTTAATCTCTTTAAGCCATCAAACCTCTTCCTGCGTCCTCAAAAAAAAAAAAAAAGCCCAACCCTTACACCAAACAGTATTTTTTTTTCCCTAAGAGGCCACAACCAAACATGCAACACTTGAGCAAAGCAGCATTCCCTCCTTTCGCTACCAAGCCGAGAGGCTCCAGTATACATATATAAATATATATATATAAATATATATATATAGAAATATATAGCATTCTTTTTACTTGACAGAAAATGTTTGATGTGCTGTAAATACACTCTCTGTCCTGTTTCTACCTTTTGCCTCTCCGACTTCTCTCTACATCCCCCTCTCTTCTCTCATACCGTCTGTTACTGCGTTACAGTAACTTATATACTCTGAAAAAAGAAAGACGAAAAAAAAAAAAAACCTGCCTGTTTTTATTAAATGCGTGGAAATGCAGAGTTGAAGAAAAAAAATCACTATCTGGGGGGGGTAAAAAAAAAAGAAAAAAAAATCATGTAAAAATAACAACCACAACGTTGCGATGAAAAACTAACCTTAACTGCAAATATTTGTATGAAGAATGTTTCCTTCTGTTTTTCTTTGCTCTTTTGTTCCTTCTCTTTTTTTTCGGTTTTTGGGGGGATTTAAGAGAGGTTTTTCTCTTGTCAGTGTGTTTGCCGTCAGTATTAACAGTTTACAGTGTCTGTTGGTTCTTTAAGTCCAGGAGTCCATGGATAGAATTTCCATCTTGAATTTTTTACGATTTGTTTCCTTTTTAGCTCACTGATTCCCTCCTTTGGCCCCCCCACCCCCCGATTCTGAGGGCTTTGTCAGCCCTCTGCTCCCAGACACTCACCTGTAGCAAAATCTCTTCCGAAAACGCAGCTTTGAAAGGCGCCTGAGTGTTTGATGGGGTTTCGGTGGGGTTCCGGTGCCCGGTGCTGGAGTTTGATTGCTTCCACTTGGCCCTGCTCTCACCCCCTCACCTTCATTATATTTCTCACTGCAGCACAATGCTTCTCTCGGCACTAAATTCACTGAGTGCCGGCATTTGCTGCGAGGAGGGGGAAATGCTGCCTGTTTTCCCACACGGGACTGAAGGCCGGCGTCTGCCCGCGCGCATTAAAACCCGACTTTCCCAGAAAAATAAAAGCCGGCCGTCAGTGTTTCTGGTGCGGGACTCGCTCGGCGAAATGCTCTCATAAGCCAGCGGCGTTTTATTAAGGTGGGAGTTTTCCTTGGCAGCGGCCAGCTCCGCTTGGCCCGGTCCCGGAAATTGATTGCAATCAAGCTAAGAGGCTCTGGGCCGCGGCCTGTACGCGTGCCAGAGCTCCGGTTCTGTGGGGCAGGACGCCGAGAGAGAAAGTCCTTTAGGATCTTAAATGCCCTCCACTCCTCTCCCCCTCCGCTCCACGCGCCCATTTGTTTTCGTACTTTAATCAATCATCCCGTCTGCGTCCTGATCCACCTTCACCTCGTCTCTCCTCTCGTCGCCCGATCGATGTCCCGCTCTCCCTCGCCCACAGGCCCGTGTAGATGTGCAGTAGAAGTAGCCTGTTTTCTAGATGTGTGCCGACGTTCCAGAGAGTTGTTGTCCGGCTGTTGTCCGTCTGCCCGTAGACGGGGACATCCGTGACAGTTTCCATTCGCTTTTTGTTGGAAAAGTTACCGTTTTTCTGCAAACATTTTCCCCAACGTGGTCATCACCGGCCACGGAGCTGGCCCACTTTGGTCCCATCTCAGAGCTGCCGGCCGGAGCGTTGTTTTTGCGGTTCTGTCAGAGTGTTCGGGCTTGTGTGCAGAGGTTCGAGCTCACACCTCACAGCAGGGAGGGGGGGGAGGGGGGGGTTGTATGTCCTCCCTTTGCCTGAGCTCTCCTCCAGGTGCTACGTCTGCAACCCCAGAAGCCAGAAAGTCTGGTTCATTGGTAATACTTGACTGGAGGTGTGTTTTTGTGCGTGTGAGTGTGTGTGAGACATGTGCACACTGGCCTGCCACTTTGTCTGAACTCTTTGCGGGATACAGAAGAAATGCTCAACAGATGGATTTAACATTGTAAACAACACTCACAACACTTCTTATGTCATTTTCAGCCTTTCACTGCTATCGCGTCTGCAGATCAGAGGACTGCCTTTGTCTCACGAAGCTAGTCTTACTCTTTGAATATGTTAGCATCAAACTGTATTTAGCCTCAGTCTAATTCTACGAATGGAGAAAGGAAAACCTGCCTCATACTCAACGATCTGTAGTGTCTTAAAAACTAATGGACCTGTATTTGCCTGTAACCTATCGTCCTGTCCTTCGTCTTAGTTAATGTGCTAGCATGTAGCTTGCATGAGAAAAACAGTCGGGAACTGTAGATAGTGTTGGACATGAGAAGAGCGGTGAGACTCCTGCCGTCCTCTGGTCTGCAAAACGCCGTCCGGCCCGGTTAAATCCACCTGTTCTGCACAAAACCATCCAGGAGACCATCGAATCAGAACCTATTCTGCCTTTTTCCCGCCGCGGCTACACGAAAACCACGCAAGTGTAGTTGTGCTGAACGGGGAAAAGCTAACCCATTGCAGTAATGGCCGTCTGGCAGCAGATGCCAGCAAACAGCAGCTTTTTTCTTCTCCCTCTTCAGTCCGTCTGAGCTGTGCTGACCCCCTCCACCCCACTCGCTGACCCCTCCTCAGGCAGTCGCACACTAGCTGCCACTCAACGTGGTTTTTCTGTTTTGTAGAGTAATCGATTTGATTTTTAAATTATGTTTTTTAAAAGGTGTGCATAATCTTCAGCGTGTTGTTTTCATTTCAACTGATAATCGTTTCCTTTCTTTGAAATTAGATTCTCCAAAACTTGAATGTTAGAGGTTTAGTTTTTGCATATTTTATAGTTTCAAGAACCATTTTTCTATATTTTCATGTATATAGTGTTGCCTTTACTGGAAACATGTGCACCCATACACACTTTTTGGTACATACACATGCACACACATGTTGGGATATGCACAGCAGTGGTGTATTTGTACACATGCGTGTGTATGTGTGTTTGTGTATGGGTGTGAGGTGTGTATTGAATGACCCAAACAAACTCCGGAGACACTCTAAATGTGTGTTGCGTTCACAAAAATGTTTTTATTTCGAGGACTAAATAAAAATACAAATTCTTATTTGCTTTTATTTTTGGATGAAAAGTCTTCCTTTTGAGTGAATATCCATATCACATTGGAATAGTGCTGTCATGTATGTTCATTTGTACTATGGCGGATGATGTCATCAATGCAAGACCGCGCCACGAGCCGTGGTGGGTTTGGCTTCTGTGTGTTTGTAGAGCATTTGCTTTTGTTTTTGTTTTGTTTTGTTTTTCTTAGAATACAGTTCAGTTGTTGACTTCAATAAACATGCATTTGGGTTAATTTCACTTGCTTGTCACTGGTTTTTCCTGCACTTAAAACAATCAAATACCACGTCATACTTTGAAATGGTTCCCCGGCTTTCTGCCTGAGTGTTCTTAAAGTTCCCTGTTCAACCACAAAAACAGAAGCATTTTGGAAAAGTATGTCAAAATTCGACTGAAAAGGAAATCCTAATAAATTCCATTAAAGATCCCTTGTTGATTTATCTCTTTAAAATGTTTTAAAAGCATGAAACATCTCTATTTCAACCATTTTTGCTTAGAAAACACAGATATATTAATTTTTCACCAAAGTAGGCAGTTTAAGAATGCTGTGCGTTCATGAAAAAGGTTATTTACATATAAATAACAATGAAGCATCCATCTATTTTCTGAACCGCTTATTCCCAAATTCAGATCCCAGCATTCAGAGGGCGAGAGGCAGGGTACACCCTGAAAGGTCTGCTAGTCCATGGCAGGGCTACACATAAAGACACACAAAGACGAACAACCACACACACTCTCACTCAGAAAATGGATGGATGGATAATAATAAAGCAAAGCAGAAAATTTCACTTCTGGAAACGTCCAACAGAGGGCAGTGCAACATAGTGAACAAAGTCTGTGTTCTCCAATCATACTGATCTTTGATTTCTTGGAAACCTAAAGATTTTCTTTCTATTAAATTGTTCAACATATTACAAAATAAACATATCTTTTCACTGAGAAATGCTTTTGTGTGATGCCTTCTTTCTTTCCTTAATGACAAATACCATCTGTTCAAGAGTCTTGATCTTTCTTTGTGGGTTTCTTAGGTTCCTCTTATCTTTCCCCTTCCTCCATCTATTTAGTTTGCAATGCGGTTTGGGGAAAATTGCTTCCAAATGTTGATACCGTTAAGGAAGAAATGCCTCTCTTTGTCCATGTGCTTCCAGTTAATTTCGGAGAGTAGTCCCAACCTTCACAAGGACTGATTTCCATCAC